ATATAACAAAAATATTTCACACTTATCTTGTACTTTACCCGCCCCAGTTCATTTGTTGATTCATTCATTCTTTCCATTTCTCTTTCTCTTCTTCCCCTCTCTTCCCCCTCCCTCTCTCCCTCCCCCTCCCCCCTCCCCTTTCCCCCTCTCCCTCCATCTGTACCTGTTTGCAGTACGTTTACATTCCTTCTGTGGAATTAATCATGTACATAGCACATCATAATTCTTTTTTTTATCCACTTTCCCTCCCTTTCACTCTTCTCCCTTACTCTACTTCCATCCTTTGATCCCCTTCTCATTTGAGATTTGTCTTCCTACTACCTGTTATCTGTCTTTTATTTTGCTTTTTATTATGATTTGGGTTTCTCATAAAAGAGCTGTGAGATATTTAAGCTTGTGTATCTGATTTATTTCACTTAACATGATGGTCTCAAAGTACATCCATTTTTCTACAGATGACTTTTAAATATATCTTTCTTTTAGACAGAATAGTACTCCATTGTGTATAAATACTATATTTTCTTTATCCATTCATCTGTTGATGAACATATAGACAGCTTCCAAGATTTAGCTGTTATGAATTGTGCTGCTATAAACATGGGTATGCACAAATCACTGTGCCATGATATCTTTAACTCTTTTAGGAATATACCTAGAAGGGGAATAACTGGGTCAAATGGAATTTCTAGTTTTAGTTTTTTGAAGAATCTCCATTTTGAAGAATTTCCATAGTAGTTGCACTAGTTTACATTGCCACCAACAGTGTAGAAAGGTTCCTTTTTCCTTGCAGCCCTACCAGCATGTGTTGTTATTTGATTTCTTGCTGATGGCCATTCTTTCTGGGTTAAGATAGAATCTTAGTATTTCTTTAATTTGCATTTCTCAAATGGCCAGAGATGTTCATCATTTTTTTCTGTATTTATTGGCCATTTGTAACATGTCAGTTCATTTCACTTGCCCATTTTTTGATTGGGTCTTTTGGGGGGACTAAGTTTTTGAGTGGTTTATATATTCAAGATACTAGTCTGAGAAATAGCTGGCAAGTTTCTTTTTTCCCATTCTATAGGTTTTCTTTTCACACCATCGGTTGTTTTTGTTTGTTTGTTTGTTTTGCTGTATGGAAGTTTAATTTGATATGATTTGTTGATTCTTGGCACTATTTCCTGTGCAACTGAGGTTCTGTTCAGAAAGTCCTTGTCTACTCCAGTGACTCGAGAGTTTTACTTATTTTATCTTCCAGTAAGTTGAGTCTCATATTTAGTTACTAATAGATCTATTTTGGTTTTAGTTTAGTGCGTGATGAGAAACGTGGATCTAGATTCAATCTTCTGCAGGTGGATAGCCAGTTTTCCCAGCATCACTTACTAAAGTGGCTTTCTTTCCTCCAGTGTATGATTTTGGCCACTTTGTCAAAGATTAAATAGTTGAATGTGCCTAGGGTTGTTTCTGTTCCCTTTGTTCTGTTCCATTGATCCTCATGTCTGTTTTGGTGCCAGTAACAATACTGTTTTTATCACTGTATCTCTGTAGTACAACTTCAAGCCTAGGGTTGTGATGCCTCTCACTTTGCTCTTGTTACCCAGGATTGCTTTTACTGTTCTGGGTCTCTTCTGGTTCCATATGAATTTTAGGATTGTTTTTTCCAGTTCTGTGAATACTGTGTGGAATTTTGATTGGGATTACCTTAAATCTGAATATAACTTGTGGAAGTATGGCTATTTTGACTATATTGGTTCTGCCTGTGCAGGAACAGGGACTATCTTTCCGTTTTCTGATGGCCTCTTTTTCAGCATACTGTGGTGTTTGTAGAAGTCTTTCATTTCCTTAGTTTAGTTAATTCCTAAGTATTTAATTTTTCTTGGTGCCATTGTGACTGCTATTTTTCCCTAATTTCTTTCTCAGTGGGTTCATTATTAGTGTTTAGGAACCCTATTGATTTTTGTGTTGATTTTATATTCTGCTACATTACTGAATTTGTTTATTGTAAGAGTCTTTTGGTGGATTATTTGGGTCTTTTAGAGGATCTGCAAATAATTCTTTTTCTTGCCTAATTGCTCTTGCTAATGTTTCCAAGTACTGTGTTAAACAGAGTGGTGATAGGTGGTGATCCTTGTCTTCCTGATTTTAGAGGAAAAGCTCTCCCTTTTCCCTCATTTAATAGGATGTTAGTACATTTGTCATAAATAGCTTTTATCAGATTGAGATAAAGTCCATCTTTAACAATTATCTTTAGTTTTTTTTGTCATGAAACGATGTATTTCATCAGTCTTTTTCTGCATTTATTGAGATGATCATGTGAATTTTTTTTAACTTTGCTTCTTTTTACCTAATGTATTATACATTTATTGATGTGTGTATGTTGAACTATTCTTGCATTTGTGAGATGAAGCCTTTTTGATCATGATGTATGATCTTTTTGATGATTCATTGCATTCTGTTTGCCAGTATCTTGTTGAGGATTTTTGCTTCTATATTCATTAAAAAGAGTGGCCTATATATAGTTCTCTGTTATGGTTGGATCCTTGTCTGGTTTTGGAATCAGGGTAGTGTTACCTTCTGTGATTTTGGGAATACTCCTTCCCTTTCAGTTTCATTAAAGAGCTTGAGGAATACTGGTGGTAGATGTTCCCTAAAGTTTTTGTAGAATCCAGCAGTGAACCCATCCAGACCTGGGCTTTTCTCAGTTTGTAGGTTTTTTCTGACTGCTTCACAGTTTCATTGCCTGTTACTAAGTTATTCAGAGTTTTTAAATCTTCTTGGTTCAGTTTTCATAATTCATATATATCTAGGAATCTGTCCATTTCTTCTAGATTCTCCCATTTATTAGCATAAAGGTTTGCAAAGTAGTTGGTAATAATCTTTTTGAGCCTGGCATGGTGGCGCATGCCTGTAATCCTAGCACTTGGGAGGCTGAGACAGGATTGCTGTGAGTTTGAGGCTGGCTTGGGCTACACAGTGAGTTCAAGATCAGTCTGAACCTACATAGTGAGACCCTGTCTGAAAAGAAAAATCTTCTTGAGTTCGACAGTGTCCAGTTTAGTTTAGTTTAGTTTTGTTTTGTTTTTTGAGAAATCCCAACTGCTGGGATTACAGGCTTGTGCTATCACACCCGGCCTGACAGTGTCCATTTTGATCTTGACTTTTTTATTTCTAATTGCACTGATTTGGATCTTTTTTTCTCCCTTTTTTTGGTTAGATTGGTTAAAGGTTTGTCTATTTTGTTTATTCTTTTAAAGAACCAACTCAATTCATTAATTCTTTGTTTTTTGTTTTTGGTCTCAATTTCATTGATTTCTGCTCTAATGCTTATATTTTCCTTCTTCATAATAGCTTTGAGTTTGAATTGTTCTTGTTTTTCTAGGAGCTGGAGGTGCCTTGTTGGATTATTTGGGCTTGCTCTGCATTTCTTATGTGGCATTCACAGCTATAACCTTCCCTCTTAGGACTGTTTTCATTGTGTCCCCATTCTGATTATGTTTACTGGAATCATTGTTTAGTTCTAGAAACTGTCCTATTTCTTCCTTGATTTCTTCTGTAATCCATTGAAGAAGAGTTTATTGTTTAATTTCCATGCATTTGCATAATTTCTGTGTTTTCTTTTGTCACTGATTTCTAACTTCATTGCCATAGGATCTGATGATATGCATGGTACAATTTCAACTCTTTTACATTTACTTAAGCTTGCTTTATTTCCCTGTCCTGGTTCTGCAGCCAGCCATGCTTTAGTATGCCCTGGGTTCTTTTAGTGGAGGATGATATTTTTGTTTGCCTAGCCTTGCTTGGATACTTGGTAACCCTTGCCAGGTTTATCCCTCAATTGGATGACCTCCTTAGCCTGCTTAGACTCTTGCCTCTATACCTCCTTACTCCCTCCTTAGGTATCCCTTCTTTACCCTACTTAAGCTGTCTTCACCACACTGGCACCTTATACCATGTGGACCTCCTCCTAACTGTCCTTAGGCTCTTGGTACTTTGCCTGGCTGCCCTTCCCCTGGTTACCCTTATTCTTCTCATGCTCCTTAGATTGTAATATAAAACATTGAGTCCCCACACATTAGATTCCTATTTTACCTTGTTTTATCTTAGGTTCCTCTTGCCAGGCAGCCCTGCCTTATGCTTTCCTCACCTTGTTCAGGCTCTGATGCTTCATTTCAAGAGCCCTAGCTATGTGGATGACCTTTCTCTACTCTGAACGACCACTGCACCTCTCCTTCTCATTCACACTTACCTCGTACCAGTCAAAGGTTTTACAACTGAGTTGTTCAAGAAGGGAAAGAAAGAAAAGAGTGAAAAAGAGGATGAACTGGAGTGATTTTTTTTTAACATGGTCTTTACTATTCTTTCATTTTCCCCCTCATTGTCTTTTTAAATTAGGAAATAAAATTATATCGAAAATTTTCTTTTTTTCCGTATTTTTTTCATCTTTTCAAATAAACTTAGGCAACCTTTTTTTTTTGGTGTTTTAAGACAGGGTCTTACTATTTGGTTTAGGCTGGTCTTGAACTCATTATGTAGCCCAGGTGGGTTTCAAACTTGTAGTGATCCTCCTGCCTCAGCTTCCCCAGTGCTAGGACTATAGGCACATAACACCATGCCTGACTTTTAAAGCAGTTTTCTTATACACTGTACCTTTATGATAAGAGGGTGGGTCTTGACTCTTATCTACTTATAAGCAGGATATATGTGTCCAGATAAAAGTGTGTGTATGTGTACACATGCGTGTATTAGTTTTAAAATATGGATCCCTGGCCGGGCATGGTGATGCACACGTGTAATCTCAGCACTCAAGAGGCTGAGGCAGGAGAATTGCTGTGCGTTCGAGGCCAGCCTGAGCCATATAGTAAGTTCAAGGCCAGCCTGAACTAATAATGAGACTCTGTCTCAAAAAATAAAATAAAATATGGATCCCTATTACTTATTGTTTACATCAACTGATTTTTTTTTAGGATTCATATAATGACTCTGTATAATCAAAAGCTGATTTTTGAATTGTTCTCTAGAGAGCCCAAGCTGCACTGCAGGCTGTCAGTGCTGTCCAGTCAGGAAATCTGGCCCTTCATGGAGCTCCGTCAAATGAAGCCACAGTCCTACCTGGGCAGAGCCCTGTACTCCGAATAATTATTGAAAACCTCTTTTACCCTGTCACTCTGGAAGTTCTTCATCAGGTAAGGAGAAGTACTCTTATGAAAGCAGAGTCAAATGTGGATTTTGCAACTTTTGATGTTTAGTTCTTTAGGTTATTGCTTTTGGTTGTTGTATTTGTTTAAATAATGAAAAAGTCTTTACCATCCTGTTTCAAACAAGAACTTATATCAGAGATAATTTTTGACAGATTCCTTTTTCTAACTGAATACTTAAAAGCTAAGTGAGGTTGGGGGTGTAGCTCAGTGGTAACATGCATGAGGCACTACATTCAATCCTCAGCATGAAAATGATGATGATGATGATGGTGATGGTGATGAAGCTAAAACCCAAGACTGAAGAAAAGGTTGGTAAGAAATTCAGTTTTTTTTATAGCTAAGTATGAAAATAAAATATACAAATCTTTGTAAAGCCTAGGTAGTAGTTGTTCCTTAGAAAATAATGTCACTACAGAGTGCAACTATTATTTCTATTGGCCCCTTATGTTTGAGTATTTTCAGTTTAAAAACTCTTAAGGGAAGATGTGTGATAAATCTTCATTTGTATCATGTTAAATACTGACTCAGGTTCAATATAACCTGTATAGACCATCTAGTTTAATACATTTATTTATTTATTTTTAGTTTAATACTTTTTTTTTTGGTATGGGAATCGAACTCAGGACCTTGCACTTGTGAGGCAGGTGGCGGCACCACTGAGCTAAATTCCTGGCAGTTTAATACATTTAAATGGTCTTGATAAAAGACATTTTGCCAAAGCATGGCTGATAATATTTAGAATTTAAAAACTGCTAGGTCATCTAGTTAAATAAGTTCCTGGGGAATAAAAATGGAAACTCAGATAACTGGTAAATATTGACTATTACAGAGAATAAGGAACCATTTGAAACTAATGTCTTCTGATATAAAGTCCAGTGTTTTATTTTGAATGCCTATTATATTTTTAACTAATATTCTATATTTGTATATCCTCAAAATATGCAGTTATTTGCTAACTGTATGTTTGACATCTAGCTTAGTCAGTTTTTGTCTTATTTAGCTATCTGTTAGCTCTATTTCATTGTACTTACCAACCCATACATGGACACTCCTGGTTTCATGACTGAGTTTCAGTCCTGTGACTAGGTCGTTAGCTGAATCGGTTGCTAAGTGAGGAATCGCATATAGTATATACATTACAACATGTGTTCAGAACAAAGAATTGGTCAAAAGAAACTCCCAACTTGATGACTTTGCTTTTATTTGTATAACTCTTACATGCAGTACTGTAATATATAACAACATAAAACTGTACTAACTACTATATAGTTGGCGAAAATTACAGTACTGTATAAACAAGGTATACTGTACAAAAAGACTTTGAGGCTCTGTAAACAAGATGTATAGAACTGTACAAAGAAAGATGGCTCATGAGTCTGGAGAGTCATTAACTAGGTGGGTTGTTAAACAAGGGCTTAAAACATTAAAAAAAAATTTATGCTTACTTTCATTTAACTTTGTCATATCTTTGGATTTTTTCTAAGTGTTATAGGAGATGCATGTGCATATGTGTTTAAAAATTGAAATACATTATATCCTAGTCTGACATTTTGCACATAAGGACAGTGGAGCTCTTACAAGTTCATTTACTTTCCCATAGCTATTACACCAATGTAGTGCTCACACATTTACCAATACAGTATGGTCCTGTGCCACATATGTGAAAATTAAATCTACCAGTTAATGGGCCTGCTGTGTTCCCTTTGGTACTTTTCTGAGTGCCATTTTCAAAATAGATGTATTTGTTTTTGTTTCTGTTTTTTGTAAGTAACAGATTTTATTGACATTTATTTGGGCCAATGCAACCATTTTGGGGTTTGGGTTTTATTTTTTTGTTTTTTAATTTTTGGTACTGGGAATTGAACTCAGGACCTTATGCTTGCCAGGCAGGAGCAGTGCCACTGAGCTAAATCCCCGGCCTTTTTTTTTTTTTTTTAAGCAAAACTTTTATTGGTACCTTTTAGATATATACAGTGATAACACTCAATATAGGAAATTTGCACCTATACATGGTATACCCTGTCTCTTTCCTTTTTCCCATTCTGCCCCTCCCCTTGACCCCCTTCCCTATACACAAAAGCTTGGTTTCCATTTTTTCCTTTTATTTTCACTTTTCATGTCCTTTCCTTCCTTTCCCCCTCCCCCACCTTTGTTGCCCTTCCCATTTGAACATTGTCTTCCCATTTCCCCATATCTATCATGCCTTCAAAATAGATGTAAAGCTTGTCCTAAGGAGGACTTTAACAATGTTCACAGCCACTGTTCCCTAAAGGAGTTCAACAGTTCCTTAAGTGACTGGTTTAATTTTTCTGGTGAATTTTCTTTTTTTCTGTTTACCCTAAAGTGACATTGAACCCTGTGTTACTCATCAGCAGTTTGTTTTTGCATTTGCTTCTGTACCGTCGTAGCTTCCTTCTTGTTTGTTTGTTTGAAATGCTGAGGATTGAACCCAGAATCTTTGCATTCAGCTATATCCCCAGTCCCTTTTAAAATGTTTTAATTTTGAGTCAGCATCTTGCTAAGCCATTAAGTTGCCCAGGCTGGGCTTGAACTTGGGAATCTTCCTGCCTCAGCCTCCCATAACTTACACTTTTAAAGTAGAAGATATTCTTATACCAATGACTCACCACTGCAATCACCCAGTAGTGAACTTATTCAGTGTCATGTGGTCATGTCCTCAGTTCATTTAATTCCCCTAAAGCAATAACAAAACTTATTTCTCCCCCTAAAAGATTGTGAGCCTTTTTGATTGAAGAGGACTAATTCTGAGAGTCCTCAATAGCAGCTGTCAGGTTAAGACTCACAGTCTTTCCATTATAGCACTCTATTTGTTCAGCTGTCTTTCCCAGGTCTGTTGATGTAAAACCAGCTCCTCATCAGAGCTCTTAAGGCCTCGAATCCTGAATTCTTATCTATTTCTTTATCCTCAGTACCTGATATACTTCTGCATATTTAACTTATTGACTTTCCTGGTTCCCTCTGTCTTCCTGTTTCCTGTCCCCCCTGCTTAGTCCTACTCTTGGTTTCTTTTTTGCATTTTTTAGACTTAGAACACCTAGTCAACCTATCTATATCATTTGCTTCTCATCACAAATCTTACCTCCTTGGGGAGTCTTTATCTAAATAATCTCTCTCCCTAATACTTTATCTCATTAGCCAGTCAAGAGGCAGTATTGCATAATGGTTAAGGACAGGGTCTGGAGCTGGTTTGCATCCTGGCTTTACTATTAACAACTACCTCTATAACCTTAGGCAAGTAACTTAGCCTATCTATATGTCTATTTTCTTGTTATAATGAAGATGAACATGACACCATTTTTTAAATCTTCATTGTGAGGATTACATGAATTTTGTTTAAAGTACATATTAAGTATTAAAGGAATGTTATCTGTGATTATCAGACAATGGTAAATCACAGTGTTAAGATACTATTCTTTGTTCTTATAGTCTTGTGGTTAAGATAATAATTTCACAAGTAATAGAAAAAATACAATAAATATTGTTATGGGAGAATATTATAAAAGTGTACAATTAGATATACCTGTTATAATTAAATAGCTCAAGGGCCAGGAATTTAGCTCAGTGTTTCTGCTGCCTGCGCCGCAAGGGTAAGGACCTGAGTTAGATCCCCGGTACCAAAAAAAAAAAAACAAAGAAAAAGAAAAAAGAAAAAAAATTAAATAGCTCATTGTTTTAATGTTATTTGACAAAAAGTTGACTTTAGGGTCGGGGATTTAGCTCAGTGGCACTGTGCCTGCCTTGCAAGCACAAGGTCCTGAGTTCTATCCCCAGTACCGCAAAAAAAAAGTTGGCCTTAGCTAAACTGCTGTCTAATATCTATAGAAGATGTAATGGGTTGAGAGTGACTCATATGGGAAGGGTGCTGTTTTAGATGAGTGAAGTTAGGGAAGGTCTTTCTAATATGATGACATCTGCATAGAGCCTTGAAGGATGTGAGGATGTAAGTCATATAGAACTCATAAAGAACAGCATGTGCAAGATCCCTAAGATGGAATTGTGTTTGATGTGTTCAAGTATCAAAAATGGGTGAATGTGATTGGAATAGGAAAACAAAGAATGCTGTAAATGATAGGGGCAGAAATGAGGTACCAGGTAATTCAAAGCTCAACTTTTTCATTAAGATGGGAAACCATTGGGAAATTTTGAATAGAGCAGCAAGATTATATTATTCACTGTTTTAACAGAATCATTCTTGTTGCTGTGTTAAGCATAAACCATCATAGAAAGACTGTTCTCAGAGTACAGATGAGAAATGGTGGTGTTCTTGGTGAAGGTGTGGCACTGGAAGTGGTGATTATGTATATATTTTGAAGGATTTACTGATACATTGGTTAGGTGTGGGTTATGATGAGAAAGGGGTTATCAAGAATGCCTTTTGGCTTTTGGATCTGAGCCTCTGGTAAAATGTAGGTACCCTAACTGACATAGAGTGAGGAAAAAGATTTGAGGCAGACATTGGAGGTAGGGCAAGACTCAAGCTTTTGTTTTAGACATGTTAAGTTTGAGATACTTGTTGAAATCCAAGTGGGGGATATTGAATAGACAGGAGATAAGTCTGGATTTGGGGGAAGAATTCCAGGATATAATTTGCTAACCATCAGCATATATGTTGGTAATTAAAGCCATTGGATGGGATGGCATTACCTAGAAAATATTTATAAAGAGAAAATTGGTATCAACTGAAAACTCTCAAACCTGCATACTAAAAAGTTTCTTGTTACAATACAGAAGTAGTTCATAATAATGTTTTCTCTCTCTTTTTGTTTTTTTTTGGTATCGGGGATCAAACTCAGGACTTTATGCTTGAGAGGCAGGTAGCGGCACCACTGAGCTAAATCCCCGGCCCACAATAGTATTCTCTTGTAATCCATCACTTCCAAGTAAATAAAAAGGTTAAATATTCCCTGTGGTGATAAGATTTTGCTATTATTAAACATTATGTAGTCAGTGTCCTGAATAGGCAGTTGGTCTTGCTTTTTAGTTACCGGAAAGAATCCTCAACAGACACTATCCTAAAACACAGGTAACAAAATAAAGTGGACCACCTCAAAATTTTGTGCATCAACTGGGTGTGGTGGTGCACATCTGCAGTCTGGCACTCTGGGAGGCTGAGGCAGAGTGATGGCAAAGTCAAGCCCAGCCTGAGCAACTTGCAAGACCCTATCTCAAAAATTAAAAACATAAAGAAAGAAATAAAAAGAGCTAGGGATATAAGTTAGTGGGAAGGCCCTGGGTTCAGTGCCCATACCAACAACAACAACAACAACAACAAATTGTGCATCAAAGAACACTATCAACAGTGAAAAAAGCAACCAAAAATTCCAAAATCTATAGAACCCCTACAACTAAACAAAAGTTATCTAATTAAAAATAGGCAAAGGAGTTAAATAGACATTTCTACAAAGAAAATAATCTAAAAGCTAGTAAGTGTATGAAAAAAAATGATCAATATCTAATTGTACGGCAAAGTGTATCTTTCTTCATAAAGCCAGTGACTTTTGTCTGTTGTTCACTGCTGAGTTCACAGTGCTTAGAAGAGTGCCCTGTAAATATTTGTTGAAACAGTAGAACATCCTATGGTTGAACCTCTTCTAGTTTTTTTCTACAGAACTCTTCAGAAGTAGATCGTGATTCACAGGGAAAAATGGTTGATCCATTTGACTCTCTTACTTCCATTCGTATGCTTTATAACAGTTACCTCGTGTGATCAGTTAATTCTTATTGTAGCTTCCTATTTTAGTATTGTGTCATTTATGTATGCTATGAAATAGGTTACATGTTTGAGTGGTTTTTGTTTTCCAGATATTGTTCTAAGACATGGCATGGATATTGAAACATAAATATTTTACACGTTAAGTAATTATTTAACCTACTGTAAACTTTTTTCCAGATATTTTCTAAATTTGGCACGGTCTTGAAGATTATCACCTTTACAAAGAATAATCAATTTCAAGCACTGCTTCAGTATGCTGACCCAGTGAATGCACATTATGCCAAAATGGTAAGTAATATTTTTTCAGTTTTCAGTAGTTAATCATTTACTTTAGTATACCTAGAGGAAGCCATCATAGTTAAGTGTACTTTTTTTTCTTTAATTGTGGTAAAATGTACACAACACTGTATTTACTATTTTAACCATTTTTCTAAGCTAAAAGTTAGTACTTTCTTTATAGGAAATGATTTCAAATCTGCCACCTCTGAGATCTGAGAGACTTACTCCTTTTGTCATATTTAGAATCTAGAGTTGAACACAGTATTACTGATGTAATCTAGGAATGTAGCTTTTTACCCTTTGTCCTTCATTTATTTCAATCAAGTCAGCCAAATAATTGACTTCACTTCTTTTGGTGAAGACATTAAGTGTTAAGAAATTTGCTGCTCTCAATTCATGTTGTCTTTTTTTGGGTGCATGAATACTTGACTCATCTATTGAAATTTAATTGTCTTGTATCAGTTTCTGAATCATTTCTAATTTCTGCTCAAAGATAGAAACCAAAGTTTATCATACTTTCATGTGCTGTGCAGTATTGGCACTCAGGAATATAGCCTTTATGTTTGCTGTACCTTCTACATGCATATGTTATAGTGTACCATTATGATGGCATATTTGTCAGTGACTATTATAAGTCAGTTTCTCATATAGTTACCGTATTTGTATGTGCTTTGGTTTCTGGTATCTATTTTTATAAATTCAAGTATCGAAAGAAGATATAATCAGCCACAAATAGCCCATTTGTAAATTTTTATTCTTGCAAAGAGAGAGATGACTGATCTTTGGTCACAACTGACCTCAAATTTCCCTCAGTTTTCTTTATTCATAGTTTTACAAGATAAATTGACAGAAGAAAAAAAGAAGCTGTAGATGATGATTTTATATATTGTGGCTCTGACAAATACCATTTACAGAAGCTTTGTTTTATCCCAACCTGTATAAACTATACTGAAGTGAATTAAGTAAGACAAAATGTGAAGTTAACATATCTTTAAATATTTGCTAAAGCTTAAAGAGGCGGAATGACCATAATGATAGCTTAGTATTTCTATAATACTATATAATAGTTGTACAGCCTTTTACATTTCTTCACTCGTTTGATCCTACCATAGATAAGAGAGATGTTATTATCCTTATTTTACAGATGAAAACTGAGACAGCTTTTCTTTTTTCCTCAGACCTTTTTCTCCTAGGTCTTTGTCTTTAAGTTCTGTGCTTTCTGCTTTATACCTCATTGCCACTCTGTGTCAAAGCAAAGGCTGTTTGATTTATGAGTGTTGTCTTGCCAAAACATCAGTCCCTTTCTCACATGCTTTAGGCTCTGGATGGCCAGAATATCTATAATGCATGCTGTACTCTGCGTATTGACTTCTCCAAGCTCACCAGCCTTAATGTGAAATATAATAATGACAAAAGCAGAGACTTCACTCGCTTAGACCTTCCTTCTGGTGATGGCCAGCCATCTCTTGAACCCCCTATGGCTGCTGCTTTTGGTGAGTAGTTCCTTTTTGGGTCACAAAACAAGTTTTCTGAAGTAGTAAGTTTCATTTATTAATCCATGAAAGTCAACCCCTCTCCCCTGTGGGTTCTCTCACGATTTCTAAAGGATAGCAAGAATCATGGAATAAAATGTATCCATTAATTAAATTTTAATATGAGGGAATTCTCTTAGTTGACAAAACAAGTAGATGTTGGAAATAGAGTTACACATTTATTTTCTAACATTAATATTACTCATAAGCCACACAACTATTTGCTTCAAATTAGTAGTCTTAAATGTAACATTGATTTAAATGTTAGCTTATTGTCAACAGGATTTTGACATAAGTGCTCCCAAGAAAAATATTTTTCTCTTCTTAAATAGTGGTATTTTAAATCAATAGCCCAAATTAGTCATATGTTCTTCTTTTATTCAGAGAGTTTTTTTAAAAAAATCTTGGTTTACCTTTAAGCATTGGAACTTCTGTCTTTACCTTATGTTAAGTTGCATTTTGCATTAATAAAAATACAGCATTTTAATACCCTCAGAGAGCTTCCCTCTTTTAAAGTAAACTTTTTAAGAGGCTGACGGTGCATGTAATTCAGTGGTAGAGAACTTGCCTAGCATGTGTGATGCCCTGGGATTGGTCTGTCATCTTCATCATCAACCTAATCATCATGTAAACCTTTGTATAAAGGAAAAGGCAATGGATGATGGCCCAGTTTGGATACATCATTGGGTTAATATATTCTAATTTTGATCTTATAGCTCTCAAAGTGTAATTTATTTTGATGAACAGTTAAACTTTAATACTTTCTGATTTATTTTCCTTTCTCCAGTTTTATCTTTCCTAAATAACACGAGAATTTTGCTAATTTGAGACCTTAAGTAGTGTTTAGTCCATCTTCTTCTATAGGCCAAAAAATTAAAGAGTGAAGACAACAAAGTGGTTATCCAAGGTTTTATAGAAAATAGTTTGTAACTCTATTTTAAAGTAAAAGTTTTTTTGATATTTATATTCCGATTTGGCAGAGCCAAATATTTTTATCATTACCATTTCAATAACAAACGATAGAAATGGGGGCAATATATTTTGGCAATTCATGTTTGCCAAAATGTAGCTATCAAATATGGAGCTGCATTTATTCCAATAGTTGAATATACACTCTTGGAGTAATTAATGTTCTGTATAATGGGAAGAGGACATTTAAAATATATGGCTAAGAATTTTGATTTCTGCACATAAAAATCAGAATGTTCAAATCTTTTTATTGTGTTAATAGATCGTTAGTCATTGCAAAATAATGTCTTCATCCTAAAATTAGTGATTCATCAGAGAAAGATACTTTTTATGATTGTGTGAAAGTTTCTCTACTTTGCTTCTGATATTTGACACAGTTCATTATTGCCTTCCTTTTTTCTCTTGGCTTCTGAAACACCATGCTTTCCTTACTTTCTTCCTACATCAGTAGCTATTCTTTAAGTTTTAGGGCTCAGTCATAGGCATTCTGTCCCTGACTTTAGTGATTTATATTATACCTATAGGACAGCTTATATATAAAACAGATAAATGTATTTTTAAAGACCCATAGCACTACCACTCAGGTTAAGAAATAAGCTGCTTATGCATACTGAAGAAGCACCCTTTGTACTCCTCTTCATGGATTATTTTTCTACTCACTGTGCCCCAAGATAAACCCCCAAATTTGATTATTGTTCTACATTTGGTTTTTCCTGTTTTGTTTTTGTTCTTTTAAATTATATATTATGTGGTCCTAAATGCTAGTTTAAATTTTTTACATTTATATTCAGAAATTCACATAAATGGAATCATGCTATTTTTCTTTTGTGACTTATTTCTTTCATGTTAGACTTTTGTGATTTATCTATAACCATACATGGATCTGTGGCTCATTCATTTTCAATAAAACAAAGTAAATATTATCCCATTGGATGAATATACCAGTTTATTATTAATAGACATTGGGGTTGTATTTGAGGTAATTTTGAACAATGCTGCTATGAACAAATTTCTATAAATTTTCTTTAGGGAACTGTTTTAGTCAGGGTTTTGGTTAATAATTTACTACAGGGGCCAGGGATTTAGCTCAGTGGTTCTGGCGCCTGCCTCGCAAGCGCAAGGTCCCGAGTTCAATCCCCGGTAACAAAAGAAAAAAAAAAAGAAATAATTTACTACAGGACACATAGTTTATTGGATTATTTTATGATAATTACCCAAAAAGTCAAATGCAAAGGAGTGCAAGAGATTAACCGCACACTAGGGGCCCAAGGAATCCAGCCGAGGACCTGGATCCCAGCAGTTTCTCACACAAGTCCAGCTAAAGGCTTAGAGTTCAAGGCAATGTCCTCCACAAGTCCAGCCAGTGGCTTAGAGCCCCGGCAATGTCTCATACTTGTCCGTATTGAGGATCTGCACCTGGAAGGCCCGAAGGCCAGGGGTCGAAGCCAGAAAATCTGCCCCAGTGAGATGAAGAATCAGTACCACCAAGCTGAGGGATCCCTGTTGGAGCCAGGAAGTGATGCTTACGGTGAAGATCAGAGCTCTCCTGAGGAAAACAGCAGCCATTTCCAGCAATAGCGAGGCCCTGAGCTCCTCCTCCAACGAGAACAGCCTAGTTTGCATCAGGAAACTATCCGCAGCAAGCTTCTAGAAGATCAATAGGCCACAATCTTCCCCTCCAGTTCTCTTTTTATGGCTATTGGTAACAATCTTCAGGTGGATCCTCCACACCCAGACCACATTGATTCAGTTCAGCTGAGTGTTACAAGTTGATCATTAGTAAATCCACCACAGGAACATACATAGGAAATGAATTAATAAGTTACAGAGCATGTATTTCTTCAGTTTTATTACATAATGCCATATTGTTTTGAAAGAGATTTTACTAATTTATGCAAGATATGCTAATTCTTAGCAATCTCATGTGTTTGTAAGAGTAACAGCATTAAAATTTTTGCTTGTATTTTTCTGATTATTACTAAAGTTGAATTATTAACCATCCCCTCATGTATAAATTTTCTCAACCCCCAACATTATAAACCAAAAAAATTCCACTATTTGAAAAGGATTTTTGTTTGTTTTTGAGACAAGGTCTCACTGTGTAGTCCAGGCTGGCCTCGAACTCGTGACAGTTCTCCTACCTCAGCCTCCCAAGTGCTGGGATTACAGGTGTATACCACCATGCCCAGCTTCTGAAAGATATTTTCAAGAAAACCAAAGGGCAGCCTCTCAGATTTGAAGAGAAGTATTTGTGTCTGCCACAGTGCACATGCCTGTAACCCTAGCTATTCTGGAGGCTGAAGGAGTTTCGGAAGTTCAAAGCCAGCCTGAGCAATTTAGCAAAGTGTGGATCAACACACTTTGGCTTCAATAACAAGAAAGGGGGCGGGACAGAGAGGCAGGAAGAGAGAGAAGAAAGGAAGGAGGAAGGAAGAAAAGAAAGGCAACTCGTTTATCAGACAGATTGGCTATATCAAGAATATATGGGTCAGGGATTTAGCTCAGTGGTTTCACCGCCTGCAGCACAAGTGCAAGGACCTGAGTTCAATCCCCACCCCCCCAAATATATATATGAAGAACTTACAACTTAATTATAAGGCAACAAAGAACTGAATTAAAATTTGAATAGATACTTTGCAAAAAATTGTGTATAAATTACAATAAGTACATAAAAAATGCTCAACACTAGTCTCAGGGAAATGTACTTGTATGATATTATTATCATTACATATCTATTAGAATAGTTCAAATTAAAAAGATTCTACTCAAGGATATGGATTGCCTTTCACTCCTATACTCTGTTGATTGAAATGTAAAATGATAACACCACTTTGGAAAAGAATTTGGTATTTTCTTAAAAAGTTAAATGTGTAACATACAACATGACCCAACCCTTCCTCAACCCCCAATCCCAGAGAAAGGAGAATGTGTTCACACAGACACTTCTATACAAATGTTCAATGCAGCTTTTCTCGTAATAGCCAAAATCTAGAAATATTCTCTTAACAAGTGAATGAATGAAAATGTGGGCTTTCTGTGTAATCAAATACTGTTCAGCAAAATGAATAAACTAATGATAAGGGCAAAAGGATTATACTGAATGAATTAATCCAGACAGAAAAGAATACCTCTTATATATGTGTGGTTAAGTTTAATTGTGTCAACTTGATTGGCTTGGGAGCTGTCAGATTAGTAAAGCACAGTTCTGAGTATGTCTTGGTGGGTCATGGAGGCTTGACCCCTCCTCTCTGGTGCTTTTGTCTTGCTCTGCTTCCTGGGTGCTGTGAACTAAGCATCTTTTCTCTACTTGCCCTTTCACCATGTATTTCTGTCTTGGAGCCAGCCAACCATGCATGGACTGACTCCCTAAAAACCATGAGCCAAATTAAACTCCTTTAAGTTGATGGGTGTAAGGTGCTGTGTCTCAGCACTAGGAAAGCTAACTAATACACCATGATTGCTCTTGAAGTTTCTATTTGTCCAAAAGTGTGCCTGTTTTTCACTCTTTTATATGGTTATACAAATAAACAGATTTCATTTTGGCAGATTTGTACATTCACATACCATGCTTTGGTCTTTTTCACTCCTCCATCACCTCCCATCAAAAATGTCTTTATTTTGTCATCAATTTTTAAAGATGGTTATGCTTTATAGAGTTCTTGATTGACAGATTTTATCAGTATATTAAAGATACCATGACATGATATTCTGGTTTTCATTGTTGCTCTTAAAAAGTCAGCTGTCAACCTTGCTATTTCTTTTTTCTGGCCACTCTTTGTGTATTTCTCTTATTTTTTGTGTCATAGTTTCTTTATGATATATTTATTTTTATTTGTTCTGCTTTGGTCATCTTTGGGCTTTTTGATTTGGTGGAGTATTATCCTTAGTTCTAGAAATTATCCCTTCATATATTTCCCTTCCTATGATTTTTCTTCTTTCTTTCTGGAACTTTGACCTGACCTCTTACTTCTTACTCTCTCATTTCATTGTCTCTGACTTCTTTTCTTATTTCCTATTACCTTTCTGAGGTATATTCTGAATAATTTTTTAAGCGCTTTCAGTTCATTAATGGCCCCTTCAACTTTATGTTATTAAATCTGCCCAGTGGTTTCAGATTTTAGCAATTGTGATTTTTATCTCTAAAAGCTTTACTAGGTTGACTTTTAAAAAGTGTCCCTGACAGGTATGTTTTTGGACTTTTCTCTAATTTCTTGAAACATAGTACATAAACCTTTACCTGCTAAATTGAGTATCTAAAAATCTTTGGGGGGGGAGTTGTCTTCCTGTTTTGAGACAAAGTCTCACTATATTGCCTAGGCTGACCTCAAACTCTGGCTCCAGCAGTCCTGCCTCATCCTTATGAATAGCTGGACCTTTAGCTGAATGCCATCATGCCCAGCTTGTCTTTCTGTTTAGATGTTTCTGCCCCCTTTTTTGGGTGGGAGGTAAATTTTTCATTTTATCTGGAGAATTAATTATGAGAATTCTTTGAGGCTTATCATCAAGGCAGTATGTTCTTGCAGAAACTGCTTTGTCTCCAGATTAAAGGCTCTCTGGGATCATTTCAACATAAATTCATAGATTGATTAGTTTTCTTTTAGGTTCTCCAAAAAAAAGGTGAATTTTGGCTGGAAATTTGCATATAAACTTCTGTTTGGTTAGTCCCAGGCAGAACGTGAATTTAAGATGCTCCTGCCTTAGTCTCCCTTAGTATAGAATTACTGGCATGGCTGCTTATTTATCATCTTGTCCAATCCCAGTTTTTTAAAGAAAATTTTGTACTCTTTAATCTGACATATTTTGTAATAAGATTGGCCGGTGTTAGCTAGTCTGCTACTATATCTCAGAATTTTTTGCCCAGAAATGAAAAGATCTTTAATGCCACTTTATTATTTAATTGAATCTAATAATTGTACATATTTATGGGGTGTAATATAATACATTAAATAAAGTATAATAATCAAATCGGAACAATTGTCATTTCTTTGAGTTGGCAAAAAAAATTTTTTTTTTTTTTTTTTTTTTGGTATCAGGTATCGAGCTTGGGACCTTGCACTTGCAAGGCAGGTGGCAGAACCACTGAGCTAAATCCCTGGCCCCAAAATTTTTTACTTAATTTTAATTGTGTTTGTCATAGTGCATGTTCCTTTCAGTATTTTAAATGGCTCTGTTTTGTCTAGTAAGTCACCATAATTTATTTAATCTCTTTAAACTAGTTTCTTTGGAATTTTCCAAAGCATGCAATAAACTGATTTCCTAGGTAAAATGTTATTGTGTTAATTTGTATTCTCTTGACTGCTAGCATTTTCCAAATGTAGAATATCTATTCTTAGTCGTGGACATAGTGAGCCATTTTTTAAAGATATGTGTAATCTCTTCATAAAAATAGAGAAACTAGGCTGTTGTCTAACTGGTTACGTTGCAGATTATGTTTCTATGTCTGCTTATTTGGGGAATGGAGATTTATTTCTTTTGTCAAATTTTAACAAATGTTCTTAGTAATCATATCATACTTGGAAATAGTTATTTAGAATTTAATTTTGATATTTGTTTGCTAGTTCTTTTGTCTCTATTAAATGTTCTGTGATGGTTATCTCAAAAATTTTCCTTATTTTTCTAAACTTTACTCCTCCTGTTCTGTCTCATCTCCTTTGATATCTATCTGTATTTGTCACTGTGCTGTGTTTAAAAACTACTCCCCCTGGGCTGGGGATTTAGCTCAGTGGTTTCACCGCCTGCTGCGTAAGCGCAAGGACCCGAGTTTGATCCCCAGTACCAAAAAAAAAACCAAACTACTCCCCCACCCATAAATCAGTGGTTTATGACAATTAGTGCTTATTTTTCCTCACATGCCTTGTCAGAGCTGAAAATGAGCTATGGCAGCCCTCTTCTACGTGTTCTTTTGATAGAGGGCCCAGGCTGAAGGTGGCATTCTTGTGACAGAAAGAGAGCACTGGTGTAAACCCGTAATGCTTCTTAAAGCTTCTGTGGCATCTATCATTTCTGTATTTATTCCTTGCAAAAACATGACATAATCAAACTCAGTGTGTTTTAAATAGCAATGTATGGTTTTTCCTCCAAAAGGTGCTGCTGGTCACATAACTGGCCAAAGTTGTATGCAAGGGACAAGTAAATACTTGGCAACAGTAATATAATCTACTGATTTTTCCTTATGTTTAGCTAATTAAACACTTTGTTAAGTCCTCCTTTTAATGCCCTAAATATAGTTCTTTCTGTTGTAAAAATGAATCATTTTAGGGCTGAGAATTTATCTCAGAGGCACTGTGCTTGTCTCTGAAGCACAAGGCCCTGAGTTCGATCCCCAGTACCCCCCCAAAAGTATCATTTTACCAATGGTCTGTATATGTTTAGCAAGGATAGAGATTCTTGTTTGTTCAGTACTAAAAGAATGCTTAGCTTAGAAAAAAAGAAGAATGCTTAGCTCATAATATGTTTTTCATAACATGCTTTCAATATGTATTTGTTGAATGGATTTCACTCTTCTTATTTCATTCTGTTGATCTTTTTTTTTTTTTCTGCTCAGGTATAGGTCTTTCTGCATCAGTTCACTTGGTGTGCAGCAGCTCTGGGACTAGGTTGGCTGCAGGGGGCAGGAGGCAGCTTGGGGACTTCAGGTCCCAACACACTGTCTCTGCACTGGCTGGGGTCTGGCCAGCCGCAGAGCAGTGTAGGATACCCAGCTGCCCACCTGGAGGCCAGCACCCTTGCTCCACATCAGGTGGAATCCCTGCCCACCCCACCCTCGGGCCACAGCTAGGGAGGTGAGGTTCAGAGCCCTGCAGGTGAAGAGGCCTGGGCCCCAGGATGCCCTGCTGCCAGCCCCTGGCCCTGGTTCAGATTGGAGGCTCCAAGGCCATAGGGCGGGGCCAGTCTGATGATCATTTTTGATGCCTTTTCTTAATATCAATTCTCTGATAGTTGTATCTTTGCAGTCTCTTATGACTATATTTTTCTTGAATTATGAATTAAATTATGTGAAATACTTTAATGAAAAGAATGAAAGTATATGAGCTTTTAACACCTAGAAAATATAGCCTATAAATATGTTCATCTCCTGTCATTAAAGAAACAAAACTACTGGCCATGGTGGTGCACACCTGTAATTCCAGCCCTCCAAGGAGGTTGAGCAGGAGGATCGAGAATTTGAGCCCTGCCTGGGCAACTTAGTGAGACCCTGTCTCAAAATTTTAAAAAAATTTAAAAAGGGCTGACATACGGTTCCTCAGTGCAAAAGCCCTGGGTTCCATCCCCAGTACCACAAAAACAAAACAAACAAAACAACCACAACTCTGCCTTTGACTTTTGCATTCTCAATTTCTCTAAAACATTTGTCTCCTCTTTATTTCTTATTCTCTGTGGCTCTGGGTCCTGAGGTAATATAATTTACTCCTTATGTGCTATAGACATTCCGGATATTTGTCTGTCTTCTCCTATTGCCTAAGTATCTGATACCCGCAGGCTCTGTCTTTAGCTTTCTTTCTGTCTTTATTTTCTTTTTTCTGTTAAATACCCTTTTTCATGAAGCTCTCATTCAAATGGCTTTCATCTCTATTTGAAGACAGATGATTACAAATCTGTGTTTGGTCATAATAATTGGAGTTTGCCCCTTTGTTTCCATTTGTGTTTCCATTTGAGTGTTTCACAGTCACTTCAAACTTGACAGGACCCAAACGAAGATCATTCTTTTCCTACTAGAGCTGACTCCTTTACTGGAACCAACTCCTGTTTTTTATTTTGTTTTATTTTTTTCTATTTGTTTTTATGACAGTTACTAGCTTCTTAAAAGAAAGATAAGGCCAGAATTTGCTTAGCATCTAAAACACACTAAGCACTCTGCTTTTCAGTTACATAATGTCTAGCTCAAGCTTTCCCTTACTGCCAGAGAAACCTCCAACCTGTCATAACAAATCCTCTGTGACTCCTTAGTGTACTTACCATACATTTTTGTTTACACCACTAAGTGATGTTCAGGATATGAATCTCCTTATTTTGTTACATTTCAGAGACAAGAATGGTATCTCATATTTGTTTTTTTCAGCACAGTACCCCGTAGGTACTGTATGATTTAATAAGATTGAATAAATATTTGATAACTTTTCATGTAGAAAGTACTCTAAATAAGAGTTAGAATCTCAGCCTAGTGCAAATTTAGTTTACAGCTAATCTGTACTCTTACTCCTTGAACCCAGTTGAAGGGGATTAACCTGGGGAAGTGGCAGAGCACATGTTGAACAAATATTTATTCCCTAACAATTCTGTTTATATATAATGTACTCTCACATAATTTTTATATTTCTTTGGTATAGAGGGTAGTAGTTATTTTAGCTCTTTTTCTCTTCCTTCCCCATTAGGTGCACCAGGTATAATATCTTCACCATACACAGGGGCTGCTGGATTTGCCCCAGCCATTGGATTTCCTCAAGCTACAGGTGAATCTTTTAAAGTTGAATTTGAAATGATTTTTAAATGAAGTTCTTTATTTTCTAGGAACTTACAAGTTGAAAAATTAAAAAATGTTAAGGATTTACAATAGAAGCATCTAGAAATATCAACCAGAGTGACTTGTGTGGTACACAGCTTCCTTATATTTACAAATAATTATCTGTGGCTCCAGTGTGAGCTCCAGTAATTCCATTATGTATTCTGCATCACTTACACTTGCCATTGGAACAGATAACTGTAGATTGACAACTTTAACCATAGTCAAGTTGTTACATAAGAAGTACGTGCTGCTTCTGTCTTGCTGATAGGCTTCTTGATTAATATGTGTGTCATCAGTACCTTTGAGATAAGTCAGCACACAGTATGCAGTCAGTCAGTGTCTGATTTAATAAATGTATACTGTTAACTTCTTTAGAAAATCTGCCATTGATGTACTCAGATTACTATACAAGGATATGCATAGCATTTATATCAAGGGATATATATATATATTTTTCTTTAATGGAAATAAGAGATGGGAATTAATACTTAAATAACTCACACTTTTCTATATAGTAAACAAAATGTGGGCTGGGCATTTAGCTCAGTGGTTCCAGGGCCTGCCTCGCAAGCACAAGGTCCCGAGTTAGAGCACTGGTACCAAAAACAACAGCAACAACAAAAAAAACTATAGTAAACAAAATGAATTTGATTATAACTTAAGAAAAAGAAAAGACTTTATGGTTTTATCTCTGTAAAGAAAACACTGAGGTTAGTGAGTAGGGGAATGGGATACTTTGAAGCTGACTTTATATGTTATGTTTCCAGCTCCCAGCTAATTCATAAATGTAGCTGATTTAAAATTACAACATAGCTGCTTTCTGGCAATAACCTTTATACCGTAACATTCTAACCTGGGAATTTTAACTACTCTGTCCAGTAGAGAAGATAGTTAAAAGGAAAGATTGATATGAAGGTTGAGTTTTAAGTCTTAGGTTAGTATTTTGGGGTTTTTAAATATATCAATATATTTTAAGTGACTATTCTGCATATAGTATTAATTTGAAACTCCTCATAATTTAATTAGTAGACATGTTCAAGTAGTAATATGTTTTCCCTCATTTTAGGTATCTCTCTTAAACACTATATTTATAAAACACAATAATAGATATGTAGAAAGATAAAAAGTGTGAGTAAAGAGGCTCCTCCCTTGATAAGACCTTTAAGGTCTACAAGATGCTACACACATACACACACACACGCGCGCGCGCACTTGTGTGCACGCACACACACACAGTCCTAAACTGTGCTCCTAGCTGATATATAGCAGATCTACCAACCATACCAGCAGTTGCAGGGTTGGGTTGGAAAGGAATGGGAATAAGAGTCATGTAAAAAGGGCTATTGGATATAGATTTCACGGAAAAAGTATTCAAGCTGAGAATGTGATCTGCACAGTTTTTAAAAATTCAGCAGTGCAGATGATGGTAGTAATGGTTTTCTGAGATTATCAAGCAGAATAGGCTGAATATAAAACATATTGCAGTTTAATTGCGTGATACATAAGTGGTCAGACATAAAAATGTTGAATTTAAAGAATCAGTAAGGAGCCGGGGATTTAGCTCAGTGGTTCTGCTGCCTGCTTTGCAAGCGCAAGTTCCCAAGTTTGATCCCCGGTACCAAAAAAAAAAGAAATCAGTAAATTAAGGAACATACATTAGAACATAAAACTTTATTTTCCATAAACTAGAGATTTTACCTTAGGTAATTTTAAAGCTGAGACACAAATAGTGGGACTTCTGGGAAAATGTGCTTTTAAGTATAGTGTCAATATTACAGTACTGTAGAACTTACAGTAATTACAGTATATCTACAGGAGAGCTCTGAAAAATTTCTGCTACAAAAGAATGTTGAATTCTGTAAATCTTACTAATCATAATAATATTTACATAGCAATTTACAGAATTACAAAATTTTTTCCCATATAAACTGCCAGGTAGCACTACCCAGTACACACATTTGTGACTTCTGCTGAAAATACATTATCTCATTTTATGGTAGAAGGCAGTGTGGAAATTACATCCACTTAATTGAAAGATGCTAAAGTGTATCTATACAGGATAGAGAGAATGCTTGTAGTTGCTAGACCCTCTGAGACACCTAACAGCCTTTTTTGAAAATCAGTGAGTCCAGTTACTCTAGAAGGTATAGTATAAATAATAAGAGTACTGTATAAACGATAATGTCAACAGATAAGGAAATCTGCTTCTGGACTGACTCAAGGGGCAGAAACTGGTGCTCTATGTACTTCTGTAGCCTTGACACATTTTCTTCTATATGTTTGCTCTGTCTTCATTTTTTTCTTATCAAGTGTTAAAATCCTCTAAATAAATAGAATGTGAACTGCTTTTGATGTTTTTAAAAGGTCTGTCAGTCCCAGCTGTTCCTGGAGCCCTTGGTCCGCTTACACTCACCTCCTCTGCTATCACTGGAAGAATGGCCATTCCTGGGGCGAGTGGTGTACCAGGAAATTCTGTTCTACTTGTCACCAATCTCAATCCTGATGTGAGTTGAGTATTACATGTTGTCTTTCAGGACAAGGTATAGTGGTTTCTGATGTAGGATTGTATTCAAATTAAAATTCTGAAGTTTGTTTTAGGATTTTTATTAAAATTCATTACTACAATAAATAGATTTTTTTTGTTTTTAATTAATTCTATTGGTACATTTTAGGTGTACAATATAATGACATTCATCATTGGAAATTTGTAACTTTACATAGTCTATCTTGGTTCTTATTTTTCCCCCTTCCCCTGCCCTCCCTTCAACCCCTCCACCCCTCCCTATTTACAAAGACTTTGTTTCCATTTTTTCATTTTCTCATATTAATTCCATTCCCATCTTTTCTTTCCCCTACCCCTGCCACTTCCCCTTTGCCCCTTTTCTTCCTATTTCACATTATCTATTATACCTTTTAGTCCTTATTTACACTGTCAGTTTCTCACACCAGAGAAACTATTTGGTATTTACACATGTGTGTCCTATTTATTACACTTGAGTATCGCCTCAATGTGCATCCATTTAACTATAAATGTCTTCAGTTTCTCATTCTTTATTGCTGAGTAGTACTCCATTTTATTATTTTTTTCTTAAATGCTTTTATTGGTACATTTTAGGTATACAATACAGTTACATTCATCTTTGGGTGCTTGTACCTGAACATGATATATCTTGCTTATTTTTTCCCCACTACCTACCCTTCACCTCCTCCACCCTTCCCTATTTACATAGACTTCGTTTCCATTTCTTTTCTTTTCTCATAATTTTTCCTTTCCCTTCTTTCCTTTCCCCTTTTCCTCCCACCACCCCTCCCCTTTGAACCTTTTCTTCCTATTTCAAATTATCAATTAACCATTTTATTTTAAAAACCCACATCTTCTTTATCCAGTGTCCAGTTGATGGGCAACTGGGCTGTTAAAAGATGGGTTTTCTTGTTTTGTTTCTTTTCTTTTTTGGTACCGGGGATCGAACTCAGGTTCTTGACCTTTCGAGGCAGGCGGCGGAACCACTGAGCTAAATCCCCGGCCCTAAAAGATATTTTAAATACAATCCATTGTCTTTATTGCATTATAAATAAATCTATTTTAAAAATTTACTTGTTCAACATTTCTATTTTGTATTATCCTTTTCAAACAGCTTATCACGCCACATGGACTTTTTATCCTGTTTGGTAAGTTCATTTTTATAATTGTCAATGCTATCTGTAAATATGAATTGAGCAGATTTGATTCAATTAGTGATATTTATTGATTACCTCTGTATGCCAAGTAGTGTGTTTGACACTGAGGATAGACAAGGAATAAGATTTAGTAAGTAATTACAATAAAGTTTTATAATGACAGCAATAAAGGCTGTAATGGGAGCATAAAGCAGGGGGTGATAACCTGAGGAAATTAGTAGAAATGCTAAGTTGACTTGTGAAAATTGAGGAAGAGTCAAGCAGGCAGAAAGGGACAATAAATGTCTTTTCACAGGTATTAGAGAGAGGGGGCAGGGGGTAGATAAATTGATTTCCTACTACATGGAAGTGAAGGAAGCTCAGTGGAGCAATCTCCCTAGCCCCCTTTAATTTTATTTTGAGTCAGGGTCTTGCTAAGTTGCTCAGGCTTGGCCTCAGCCTCCCAAGTAGTTAGGATTACAGGCATGCATCAGTCACACCCAGGTGGTGGTAGATATTTTTTAAACAGCATTTTTGAAGTATAATTTACAAGCATATAATTCACTGTCCAATACCACACCATCACTACAGTCCAATTTTAGAACTTTTCCATCATCCCATAGAAATCCTTCATTAAAAAGAAAGAAAATCCTTATGCTCATATGCAATCACTGTAAAAGTTTTAAATAATAATGCATTTAAGTAATTCTTAATACTCATGTATTAATAATACATTTTTATTTAACTCTTATAGTCAAAGCATGTCTTTCTAAAAATAAATTTTCTGCTCATTTATAAAACACACTGCCCATATCTTAAGAATAAATTATAGGCTGGGGATATAGCTCTGGTTTCTCCGCCTGCTGCGCAAGCGTAATCCCCAGTACCAAAAAAAAAAAAGAAAAGAAAAGAATAAATTATATGTTTAGTTTTAAAAATGTCTACCTCAGCCGGGCACAGTGGCACATGCCTGTAATCCCAGCACTCTGGGAGCCTGAGGCAGGAGGATCACGAATATGAGCCAAGCCTAAGCAACTTAGTGAATCCTTGTCTCAAAAAATAAAAAGGGCTGGGAGGTATCTCAGTGCAGAGGCACTGGGTTCAATCCCCACTGCCACAGGAAAAAACAAAAGCAAAAAGAAAAACCAGAATGTCTACTTCAGGAACTTGTCCTTTCTGAGAAGGGCAGCAAATTTGAAATAGTTGTCTTTTTGTTTTAAATTTTAAAAGTACTGTTTTTCTCTAGATTCATTCCATTAGATGCATGCCCACAAGATAAGGACCTCTCCTTTGCGTGCCTTGAAGGTTTTTTTTTCTTTTTATTTTAATCTTAAAAAGATCTCATTTATTTAAGCTTGGTATTTCTATTTTTTAAAGGAAAAAGGAGGAGCTTGTTGAGATGCAGAGGCAGGAGGATCAATTGAGCCCAAAAGTTCAAGGCCACCTGGGCAACAAAGAGAAAGCTCAACTAAAAAATCAAGAGGAAAAATGAGAATGTGATGAATATGAAGAGGGAGAGGGAAGAGAGGGAGGAAAAGGAGAAGAGTGGGGGGAGAAGAGCAGGGTCTGCCTAGATTCCTCTCTATAGGTTAATTTATGATTATCAATATTTGTTAAAAACAATGTGTTTTCATGAAAATTGACTAGTACTTTTTAAATTTAGTAATTGAATGAATTTGAACCTTTGAAAGTACTTTTATTTTTAAACATTAAAAATTTGTAATAGTTTGACATGTACGGTGTTAACATGGTTCATGAATTTAATTTGTTTTATGATTTTTTTTTTCATTTTACTGGTACATTTTAGATACACATTGTGATAACATTCATCATAGGGAAATTGTGCCTGTACACGATGTACCTTGATTCTTTTTTTTTTGTTTCCCCTCCCCTCCCTTCATCCCCTCTTCCCCTCCTTATTTACAAATGCTTTGTTTCCATTTTTTCCCTTCTGTTCTCTTTTTTCTCTTTTCTCTTCCTTTCCACTCTTCCCTCTCCCTTGTTCTCTTTCCCATTTGAACATTTTCTTCCTTTTTCCCAATACCTGTTAAACATTTTGGTCCTTAATTATACTTTCTGTTTCTCACAACAGAGAAACAGTGTGATATTTAAAAATATGTGTTCGATTTATTTCACTTAAGAATGCAGTCTCAGGGCTGGGGATTTAGCTCAGTGGCACCATGACTGCCTTGCAAGAGCAAGGTCCTGAGTTTGATGCCCGGTATGGGGGGGGGGGGCGGGGAGAATGTGATCTCAAGGTGCATTCATATACCTATGAATGCCTTAAGTTTATCCTTCTTTATAGCAGAATAGTATTCCATTATATAAACATCCACATCTTTATCCATTCATTGGTTGATGGGCATTTGGGCTGTTTTCAAGATTTAGCGATTACAAATTGTGCTACTATAACGTGAGTGTACATATGTTGCTGTGGTATGGTGCTTTTAACTTTCAGAAGGATTCCAAAAAAGGGAATAGCTGGGTCAAATAGAACCTCTAACTCTAGTATTTTGAGGAATCTCTGTACTGATTTCCACTGTGGTTGCACCAGCCTGTACTCCCACCAGCTGTGAAGAAGAGTTCCTTTTTCCCCAGAGCCTTGCTAGCATTTGTTATTGGTTGATTTCTTGTTAGCAGCCATTCTTTCTGGGGTGAGATGAAATCTCAGTGCTGTTTTATTTTGCATCTCTCAAATGACTAGTGACGTGGAACATTTTTTCATATATTTATTTGCTCCTTGTACTTCTTTGTCTGAGAAGTGTCTATTTCAGATGCCCATTTTTAGATTGGGTCTTTAAATGTAGAAGTCTGATATTTCTGAGTTCTTTTATCTATTCTAGATGTTAGCCTTTGTCTGAGGAACAGCTGGCAAAAATTTTTTCCCATTCTGTGAATTGTTTCTTCACAGTGTTGGTAGTTTCTTTTGCTGTGCAAAAGGTCTTTTCATAAGATGAGATCCCGTTTGTTGATTCTTTGTATTATTTCCTGTGCAGTTGGGGTTTTTTCCCATAAATTCTTTGCCTACACTTACATCTTCAAGAGTTCTACCTATTCTACCTCCCAGTAGATTTAGGGTTTCTGTTTTAATATTTAGTTCTTTGATCCATTTCGATTTTAATTTAGCATATGGTGAGAGATATGGGTCTAGGTTCAATCTTTGGCATTTGGAAAGCCAGTTTTTCCAGCATCATTTATTAAAGAGGCTATCTTTCTTCCAGTGGAGGTGTTTGACCCCTTTGTCAAAGATGGCTGAAGGTGGCTGAGTGTTTGGAGTTGTTTCTATTATCTTCTGATCTGTTCATTTATCCTCAGGTCTGTTTTTTTGACAGTACCATGCTGGGGTTTTTTGTTTTATTTTGTTTTTAATCATAGTAGCTTTGTAGTATAATTTCAAGTCAGGGATTGTGATGCCCCCTGCCATGCCTTTATTGCCCAGAATTGCTTTTGCTATTCTGGGACTCTTCTGGTTCCAAATAAATTTTAGGATTTTTTTCTCTAATTCTGCGAGGTATGCTGTTGGTATTTTTATTGAGATTGCATTAAATCTGTATAACAGTTTTAGAAGTATGGCCATTTTTACTGTTGGTCTATGCTACCCAAGGACAAAAGATACCTTTCCATTTTCCTATAGCCTTTTGATCTGTTTTTTCAGACTACTGTAAGTACTAAAGGTCTTTTACTTTCTTCATTAGATTGATTCCTAAGTATTTAATTTTTCCTGATGCTATTATGAAGGGTGTAGTTTCCTTAATTTCCTTCTTGGTGAGTTTGTTATTTGTGTACAGGAATGCTATTGATTTTTGAGAGTTGATTTTGTATCCAGCTATGCTGCTGAATTTGGTTATCACATCTAGAAGTCTTCTGGTGAAGTTTTTGGGGTTTTCTATGTAGAGTATCATGTCATCTGCACATAATGATAATTTAACTTCTTCCTTTTCTGTCCTTATTCCTTTTATTTCTTTCTCTTGTTTAATTGCTCTGGCTAATATTTCCAGAACTATATTGAATAGGAGAGGTGATAGTGGACATCCTTGTGTTGTTCCTGATTTTAGAGTGAAAGTTTTCAGTTTTTGACTATTTAGTATAATGTTGGCTGTTGGTTTGTCATAGATAGCTTTTATCAGATTGAGATAAAGACCTTCTATTCCAATTTTCTAATAGGGTTTTTATCATGAATGAGTGTTGGGCTTTGTCAAATGCTTTTTCTGTGTATATTGAGATGATCATGTAGGTTGTTGATATGGTTTATTACATTTATTGATTTGCATATATTTAACCACCCCTGCATCCCTGGGATGAATTCTTCTTGGTCATGGTGTGTAATCTTCTTGATGATTTGCTGAATTCTGTTTGCCAGTATCTTAATGAGCATTTTGGTGTCTATGTTAACTAGGGAGATTAGCCTGCAAAGTTCTCTTTTTTGGTTGGATCCTTCTCTGGTTTGGGTACCAGGTTAATGCTTGCTTCCAGGAATGAATTTGAGAGTATTGCTTCCCTTTCAGTTTCATTAAAGAGTTTGATGAGTAGTGGCATTAGATCTTCTCTAAATTTCTTGTAGAATTCAGCAGTGAATCCATCAGGACTTGGGCTTTTCTTTGTTGATAGGTTTTTAATTATATTCAATTTAATTGACTGATATTGGGTTATTTTGGATTTTTATGTCTTCTTGATTCAGCTTTGGTAATTCGTATGTACCTAGGAATCTGTCTATTTCTTCTGTGTTATCCATCTTATTTGAATATAGGTTTTCAAGGTATTTATGATCTGGATTTCTGCAGGATCTTTTGTGATTTCATCCTTTTCATTCTTAATTGCACGGATTTGAGTCTTTTTCCCTTTTTTTGTTAAAGGTTGGCTAAGTGCTTGTATTTTTCAAAGAACTAACTCTTCGATTCATTGATTCTTTGTATTGTTCTCTTAGTCTTGTTTGCATTAATTTCTACTCTGATCTTTATAATTTCTTCCCTCATATGAGCTTTGGGCTTCACTTCTTGTTCTTTTTCTAGAATTTTAAGGTTCAACATTAGGTTGTTTATTTGAGCACACATTATTATGTAGGAATTCACTGCTATAAATTTCTCTCATAGGGCAACTTTCATTGAGTCCCATAAGTTTCTGTATGTTGTATTGGCACTATCATTTAATTGTAGAAACTGTCTAATTTCTTCTTTAATTTCATCTGTGACCCATCGGTTGATCTGGAGGGTGTTATTTAATTTCCATGTGTTTCTGTATTTTTTGTGGTTTCTTTCCATTGATTTCCAATTTCATTGCACTATGGCCCAATAACACGCATGGGATAATTTCAGTTTCTTTGGATTTACTTAAGCATGTTCTATGAGCTAGTATTTGATCTGTTTTGGAGAATGTCCCATGTGCAGCTGAGAAGAATCTGTATTTTGATATCGTAGGGTAGAACACACTGTAGACATATACTAAGTCCATTTATTCAGAGGGTTGGTTCAGTTCTGATATTTCTTTGTTGATTTCTTAGTTGATCTATTTGTGACAGTGGGATATTGAGGTCTCATTATAACTGTGTTAGTGCTTTTCCATTAATATTTGTTTTATATAGTTGGGTGTACCAGTATTTGGTGCATATATATTTATGATTGTTATCTCTTTATATGGGAGTGTTCCCTTAACAAGTATGTAGTAATTGCCTTTGTCTTTCTTTGTCAGTCTTGGCCTGAAATCCACTTTGTCTGCAAATAGAATAGCTATCCCAGCTTTTTTCCAGGGTCCTGTCAAATGAAGTATTGCTTTCTATCCTTTGATTTTTCAGTCTGTGAATTTCTTTTTGAGTTAAATGTGTTTCTTGTATATAGCATATTGTTGGGTCTTGTTTCTTGATCCATTCTGCCAGTGTGTTTCTTTTGATTGATAAATTGAGACCATTTACTTTGGCGGTTATAACTGATATGTATTAATTTATCTTTGTTATATTATTTTCCTGTTGTTAGTTCCCTTTCTTTCTCTTCTGTTTAGTTGCTTGCTTTACTTGGTAGATTCTTTCTATTGGTGTTCATGGAATTGTAGCCTTCTTTGTCTCTTTATGGAATATCCCGAAGGTTCTGTAGTCTTTCTCTTACTGCCTTACAAAGGATGATAATGATACCTTAGTATCAATGACAACATAAACTGCAATATATGAGGAGTAAAATGAGAAGATACTATTCCCATTTTAGAACATTCTGCTTACAACTCTCTATAGATTTAAAACTTCTAAATATAATGTTTTCATGCTGGTTATGTAAATAGATCAGTATTAGATGAAAGCTTTATTTTCTTTCCACGCCCCAGTGAATCATTTTGCCTATATTCTAGAATAGGGGACCCATTTTGGAGAGCCACTGGTATAGAAAAATTGAGTACAGTAATATAATTAGGAGGTTGTTGGGATAGTCCATACTGGAAATGGTAGTGATTGATATGATAGTGGTGAGTATAGGGAGAAATAGAGAAATGTGTGATGTATTTGGGTTATGGAATCAGTAGATGCTGGTGATTGATTAAATATAAGAGTTTAAGAAAAGGGAAATTGAAAGATGACTCCCAGGTATTTGACTGGAGCAACTGTGTGGATGATGGTGTCATTTATCCCCAGAATTAGTCAACACTTGAAGTGGAGAAAAGTGGGAGGGAATGAATCTGTTTGAGACATACTAACATTGAAGTGTTTACGGGAAATTCAAGTGAAAAACTGAGTAGAACTTGGAAGAGTATATTGAAATTGCTGTGGGACAATATATAGTAGGAGAAAAGAAATGTTCATGTATATAGTAAAATTAATTAAATACCATTAAATACAGTGTTTTTTTGTCTTGTTTTAATTAGGAGTATATGGTGATGTACATCGAGTGAAGATAATGTTTAATAAAAAGGAAAATGCCTTGGTTCAGATGGCAGATGCACACCAAGCCCAGCTAGGTACTAATGATTAATGGTGATGATGATAACTTGTTCTGTTTGTATCTGAATTTTCCTTCAAAATAAACAAATGTGTATCTAGAAGCAATATAATTTTATGAGTACTTCCTGTAGTAAAGTCTTCATTATTAGTTGCATCTGCTTATACTTTTAAGGTAAAAAATACTCATTACTCCTTTGAAGTTCATTTATCAACTTGAAAGTATTGTTAGTATTTATAGGTTTCACTCTCAGGTTTCCTATTAAGTTTTAAGTAATAGACATTACTTGTTTAATTTCATTTTTTGGATTCTTCAACTTCTAAATTTCTAGAATTATTGAGTGGTTTAGAAGTTTGAGCAAACTTCCTAATGATGGGACAAGAAGGAGTAGTTCCACAGCCTCACTTTTTTTTTTCAAATAAAAAATTTAATTTCAGAAACTGAGTTCACCATTTATAAATACACTAAAGCATAGTCTACACAAATTTAGATTAAGTATAGGTACAGTATTTTAACAAAATGACAACTTTTCTAAAAGATCAATATTAAATTGATTTGAAATGAGAAAATGAACCCTTTTTCAGATGTTAACACAAAAACTTTGAGGACCTATTGATTGTTAAAAGACATAGCCTTGGGCCGGGGATTTAGCTCAGTGGTTTCACCGCCTGCACAGCAGGCGCAAGGACCTGAGTTCGATCCCCGGTACCAAAACAATAAAACATAAATAAAAGGCATAGCCCCACTTTTAAAGCAGCTATTAAGATACTGCTATTCAGATTTCTCGAAAAAATGCTTTGACATAAAGCTAATATACTCAAAGACACTTTATCAGTACTTTAGTTCTAGACACTCTGGAACTTCCTAGCACTCTGCTCAGAAGATAGTTATTTTTTGTTTGTTTTTGTTTTTTAATTACTTTTAACTTAATACATTTCCCTAAGAGTTTTTAAATCCTTCAACCCTCAGGCTGACTTAATTTTAAAGGATTCAGTGAAAATAATTTCTGGTAACAGGGAAATACTTCTGAGAATCCATCTTGATACTCAAACTTACTTTCTTCCTGTAGCAATGAACCATCTAAGTGGTCAGAGACTTTATGGAAAAGTGCTCCGTGCTACACTGTCCAAACACCAAACAGTTCAGCTTCCTCGAGAGGGACAAGAAGACCAAGGTCTGACTAAGGATTTCAGCAATAGTCCTTTGCATCGCTTTAAAAAGCCTGGCTCTAAAAACTTCCAGAATATTTTTCCACCATCAGCCACGCTGCATCTTTCCAACATTCCGTATGTATCTAATAATTTACTCATTTAGGTGACTAATAATCATCAATAGGTGGTTTGGATGAGGTAAATTCTCTGAAATTATTCTAATTTTGAAGTTGTCTTGGTCCCTAATTTCTTAAAAGAGTTTTTTCACCATCATGCCTTAAGGACATTCTGTCTGTAGTCATACTCTCTAAGAGTGAAAAATCAGTGTTTTCAAATTTTCTGAAATAATTAGCTGCCTGTTAAGAAAGTGCATAAAGATAGATGTTGCAGAAATACTACATTGGTACGTACTTGTTCATTTCTTGGTAGAAGTAATAATTCTTATGTAACCAATATAGTAATCAAAATTAAGATAATTTATATATGTATCAAATTATGTATGTAAGAATTTGGTGCTAGATGTGGTAGCACACGGTTTTAATGTCAGTACTCTGAGGGGCTAAAGGAGGAGAATCCCAAGTTCAAGCCCAAGTTAATAAAGCTTTATAAAAGCTCTTAATAAAGCTGTGTTTCAAATTTTAAAAATAAAATAAAAAAGAGCCAGGACATAGCTCAGTACCGTGGAGGGTGAAGAATGTTGTAAAAATGAATTCTGTACATTTGATCTGCAAGTTATAGATTACTTAAAAACTAAAAGTTAGCTGGCCATAGTGGCTCATGCCTGTAATCCCAGCATTCTACACAGTGAGACAAGAGGATCCCAGATTCAAGCCGAGCCTGGGCAATGTAGTGAGTCAGCGAGAGAGACCTGCCTCAAATTTTCTTTTAAAAAGAAAGGATGTAGCCCAGTGCAAAGGCCCTGGGTTCAGTCCCCAGCACTGGGGCTTTAGGGGATGCTAAGAGTTATTTTTTGTGACCATCTATAGGTCTCTTTCTTAACCAGTATTCTGTTGGTTTATAGTAATTTTTAGTTATCTTCAGCTCTGCTATTGACAAACCACAGCCCAGGACTGTTTTTTTATACATACGAACTAAGGATGATGTTTGCCTTTTTTTGTTTCTGTTTTTAAGACATTCTTACTATATAGTCCAGGCCAGACCAGCATTGAACTCACTGTGTATCCCAAGCTGGCCTCAAAACTTATCATCTTGTTTAGCCTCTCAAGTGCTGGGTTAAAGGTGATTTCATATTTTAAAATGGTTGAGAAAAAGAGCAGAAGAAAAATACTTTATATGAGAAAATGACATAAATTCAAATTTCACCTTCCATAAAGTTTGATGTAAAACAGCTATCATTTCCATAATATCTATTATGGCTGCTTTTAAACTATCACAGCAAAGCTGAATAGCTGCAACAGAGGTTATATGGCCCACAAAGACTAAGAAAACATATGGCAACTCTTGTACTAATCCTTCATCTACAAAAATGTCAATTTTGTATATATTAAACTAACACATGAAACAAAGTAAGCTTTGGAAGGAGGAATAAAAGCTATGGGACTTTGGGTAACTGAAAGGATATTTATAGAACGTATAAATGACTTTATTCTCCCATGTAAATCTGTGAAGTAACAAATTGTTTCTATTTGATTATTAAATTTAACTTTAATGTAAAAAAAAAAGCTATAGGAGATACTTTTGTGTGTAAAAATTTAAAGACTAAGGAGATGGAAAGGGTAAAGTTCTCTGATCATTATTGAGAATAAGAATATGAGCTAAAGCCTGGAGATATAGCTTAGTTGTAGAGTGCTTGTTTGGCATGCTCAAGGGCCTGGATTTGACCCTCATCACAACCAAAAAAAAAGATAAATAACAAAGGAAAAGAATTATTCAAAAAACTGTACTGCTAAATGCCCACCCTCCCTTGCTGGTGTGCAGTTAGGAAGTTAGGAGAAACCTTTAATCTGAATTGGGCAGTGAACTTCTTATAACTGAGAAGTTGGAGCAGTCACATAAAAAAAATCCAGAGTACATGAATACAGAAATGTAGCAATTCATCATTGTGAAGTAACTAAATGAGTATGTCATTGTTAGCTTCTTAAAAACAACCCTTTATGCAGGAGCTGGCCACCAGTTGCAATTTATATAGGTAGAAAAAGAAATATCTTAATATCTTTTGAGCCATCTTCCAGGTTCTGGTTACTTTGCTGTTGCTTTATGCATATTACCTCACTTAATGTTCATAACAACCCTTTTTAAAGATAGTTGTGGTAAATTTTACATAACATAAAATTATTGTAGGAGTGGAACTGGAGATTGAACCCATTGAGCCCTAAGCTACATCCTCAGTCCTTATTTAAAAAATTTTTTGAGACAAAGTTTCACTGAATTGCCAGGCTGGCCTCAAACTTGTGATCCTCCTACCACAGCCTCTGTGTAGCTGGGATTACCTGCACCATGCACAACAAATTAACTGTTTTGAAGTGTACAATGCAGAGAACAGTCACATAAATACATTCACATTACTGTGTAACCACCACCTATATCTATCTGAAGAAACTTTTTTCATCATCACAAATTGAAACTCTGTACCCATGAACCGGTAACTTCCCATTTCTTCCTACCTCTTAGTTCCATGCACTTACTGTTCTATATTATGATTTTATCAGTTTATCCGTAATAATCCTTGAGATAAGGTCATTAGTTTCATTTTATTGATGGACCAGAGACTAAGGGTGAGTAATTACTCAAAGTGGTATGCTAAGTAGGTCAGGAATAGAATATGGGCTCAAGGGCACTGTTCCCCAGCTCTGCTTCCAGGCCACTGTGAAGTGAGCGGCTTTGCTCCACCAGTCAGTCCATTCTGATATGATGGTTCTGCCTTGAAGCCAACTGACCCTGGACTAAAACCTCTGATTAAATTAAATATCTCTTTTTAAAAAAAAAAATGCTGAGTGTAGTGGTGCACACCTGTAATCCCAGCATTCAGAAGGCTGAGGCAGGAGGAATACTGTGAGTTTGAGGCCAGCCTAAGCTAAATAGTGAGTTCAAGGCCAGCCTGAACTACACAGCAAGACCCTGTCTCAAAAAAAAACCAACCAAGAATGTGGGCTCAGATTTGTCTTCCTGCAAGCCAATGATAATTCCACATTGTCTTTGCTAGTCAGTTTTGAAAAGATGAGTCCATTTTTCATCAGTTGACTCTCTGGCTCATAGACCATTATATTAGTTTTCTGCTGCCACATAACAGATCACCCCAAAGCATAACAGCTTAACACAATAGTAAATATTCAGTATCTCATACTATTACTGTGATCAGAGGCTGGGTGGGTTTGTCTGAAATCTCTCTTATGGTTGCAGTCAAAATGCTGGGTAAAGGGGATCTGGCGGTGTAGCTCAGTGGTAGATCATGTGCTTAACCTGCATGAGGCCCTGGGTTCAGTTACCAGCACAGCCCCCCAAAATAAGGCTAGGCAAAAGTACAGTCACCTGAAGGAGCATACCATCAGTTTTTGGTTAGAGAGTACATGTACTGTTTCTCTATTCACTGTAAGAAGGGAATTCTGAAGCATGTGAATATTAGAGGCAGAAGTACTTGGGGACCATCTCAGAACCTGACTACCACATATCCACATTAAGTATTACCCTCAAGGTAATTGAAAATGCAGAGCTCTAGGCTATAATAGACAAGTCAGAGCTAGGGAAGTAACTTTGGAAGTACTAGTTAATAACTGAGGACACTTTTGTAATAATCACTTTAAAAGAACACATCTAGAAAGAACTTTTTGACCTTTTTATATTTGTTAGTATCTTTAGCCCAGATTGAGACTGGCCTGATGTGATAGCAGACACTTACAATTTCAGCTGCTCAGGAGGCTGAGACCAGAGGACCACAAGTTCAAGAGAGCCTGGAAAATTTAGCAAGGCCATGTCTCAAAATACAAATGACTGAAGGTGTAGCTCAGTGGTAGATCACTCTGGGTTCATAGTCTAGTAACTTTAAAAGAAAAGGTTAAGGGAAAATTCTGTTGTTTGAGAATGCATGTGTGTCAGTCATAAGAATCTTTCTAGGCCCTTCCAAATCATGTCTTTGTTACATGGCTCAGTAATTCTGTTCAAATACAAAATACTCTAGAGATTTGGTGTTGGCTCAAGTTAATCTTTGCTTCATTTGAGAATTGGGGCTAATGTAATTGATGCGCTGATGTTTTTACAGCCCTTCTGTTACAATGGATGATCTGAAGAACATTTTCACAGAGGCTGGATGTTCAGTGAAGGCTTTTAAATTCTTTCAGTAAGTCCTTGCTTTCAAGAAACACATTAACATTATTTAACATGTTTTGTAAATGAAGTCTTCTGGTGGAAGGAGAAATTTGGAAACAAAATTAATTGTAAATACTTTTTATGCTATTTTCAGGAAAGATCGCAAAATGGCACTCATTCAGTTAGGATCTGTGGAAGAAGCAATCCAGGCCCTCATTGAACTTCATAATCATGATCTTGGAGAAAATCACCACCTCAGAGTTTCCTTCTCAAAATCTACAATCTGATTTTCTGTGAATTTTTCTCCTAAAACTGGACCATAGTGACAGTAAAACCTTCAGACATAGACTGAAGCAGTTCAAGACCAACTCTGCCTCTTTCACAAAAATAACTCTGAGTTTGATATTTAAATATATTAAAAACATGAGATATTCTTTTTCTTTTCTTTTTCCCCCTGCTGGTATATAATCAAAAGTTTGTTTTCCTTTCTACCATGGTTTCTATGAAAGTACCTGTATAAAAAATGTGTTTTCCATAATTTAATTCCCCACATTAAAATCAATTTCAAGAGGACAGACTTTTTTTTTAGTTTGGGTCAGATTAGCCTTATATGACATTTCTAAACTCCTTTGTACTTTGAGAGATTTAAGGATATGGACTTTAAAAATTACTTGATGTAAGTAATTTAAATCACAATCAAGTTTTTAAGATTCAAAAGTCTGACCCCTGTAGGAAATTATGTTCACTTTTAAATTATGTCAAATATTTGCCATATAATGATGGTTGTTAGACATAAACACATGAATTGTATTGCAAGCAGATTTATAAACATGCATGTTTTGATTCTATGATTTCATTTTTAAACTCTTTGACACTCCTTTGAATAATGCATTATCTTTTTAAGACTTATTTGGAACAATGAAGTGTCTCAACTGTGCCCAGGGAAATTAAGTCAAATTCAACTAAGATATATTAAGATGTCAGAATAACTAATAATTTTATTAGAAAAATCATGTCTTAAATCTCAAAATGACACTTTTTTGTTGAGTAATATAAATATGATATTGGGAAATTTTAAAAAATAATCCTACTTATAAACTACTTTTTTATAATTGTTTTCAGAAAAAAGTTTACAGTCTTATGGAAAATATTCAGGTCTATCATATGGTTTGACAGATTTTTTAAAAGTTATTTTTGGTAAGGTCTTCTTTTAGAAAAGAATTAATCTCAAGGGTTTTTTGTACCACTATCTCTAATACTTAGAATTACTGTGTACTTACTTAATTTCTTATTATGTGCCTTATTATGTGCTTAAGATACAATAGGTTAGAGTTTTATCTAAATATCTTGAAAGCTATATTGTGGGCTTGGTGAGCATTTTGTTTTCTCTTTCTCTGTTTTGGTAAAGATTTAAAAAGGTTTTTTCATTGCAATTTTAAGTGGTTTTCAATAAGTAATAGTTTTTATTCCAATTTTTGGTGCTTTGGTGCAGAGGTGGGGTAGGGAAGGGTGAATAATTTGAGGAATATTCAGTGTACACTTGTAGGCCTCTACATTGTGACTGGTAGCAGTTGTTGCCAGTTATCACACACCAATTTGGGGCTGTAGAATGCAATCTTAGTTTCTGGGTCTTGTCTAATCTTTATTGCCCATAAGAATTTGTCTCAGGATTACTTGGTTCTTCTCAGTACTCAAGTGAGAACTTTGCTTTTCTTTGTTAGTGTAATTTACTGAGTGCTCACATATTTGGGAGTATAAGAAGGTGGGCTATTTTTTATACTCTGTTCCTTTTTCTCTTTTTGGTTGAATGTAAGTGCATTTTAATGTTGCTTCAGTGACTGTATAATGTAAAATTATTTCTTCTTAACAAGAAACCACTTTTGTTAATTATTCCTTCAGTGCTTGATTAGATTTTTTTAAAGCAGAATTTATCAAAAGGATCAACTTAATCCACCCCTTTTACACTTTTTGTATTTTTTTAAGTGGCTCATCTCAACTTTAAAAAGAATATCTCAATCTTTCTGCTGTATTCCAACCATTAATTTGAACTTAGGGAGGTTTTTTAATTTAAAAAATATTGCAAAAATTTAGAGATTGAAAGAGACATAAAATCAGAATTCACTCAACACCAAGCAACAGTTAGTTGGTAGAATAGGAAAAGATGACACTAAGTAGAGACCTTTCAAATGATCAGTTTAGTATTGGCCAAATAGGCATAATCATTTACCTAGTTGGGGGGTTTTTCCTTCCACTTTTGAAATATATTTTTACCTACACAATGAGTAGAGAAAGAAGGGAAAAATAATTAAGAAACCTCCCAGGGCCGGGGATTTAGCTCAGTGGTTTCGCCACCTGCTGCGCAAGCACAAGGACCCGAGTTCGATCTCCGGTACCAAAAAAACAAAAACCAAAAAAAGAAACCTCCCTAAATTTGTTCTTTATTTCCTTCTACACAGGCACTGTTATAATATTCAGTGGCATGTTAAATTGGGTTACTTCATTTGTTTTGAGTTGGGAATTATTGTGTAATTTATTCATGATTCTCATAACATCCAGCATAAGTGTAGCAAAAATTACTGATAGCAGAAGGTAAATCATAATAGTGTTGAATGTAATTTTGAAGAAGGAGATGGCCTTTAAGTCTGAGAGAGAACATTTAAATCCTTTTCAGGGATTTGTGTAGATAGATGTGTGTGTGTGTGTGTGTGTGTGTGTGTTTGCGCTTGTGTGTGTATATAGATAAGTGTATATACATACATGCGTCCTTCTAATGTTGTATATACATATGCACATTACATACATTTTAATTTATTGACAAAGAATAACCAAATTAAGATTTGGAAAAGTGGGATATTCTTGTTTTTAAAGAGCATGTTCAAAGCCATCAGATTGTGTTTAAAATTAGCTGTAGCACATGGATGTTGTCCTTATTGAGCTCTTGGCTGTTTGAATTATAGAAGTCTACAGTATTTGTGTTGGCATAGCTTTTGTAAAAAAATTTAAACATATCAGGGTGGTGGAAAAATGGGATCTGTATATTTTTATTTTGGCATGGATTTTTCAGTATATGCTAAGGGATGGTTTGTTTTTGCTGTCGATCTGCCACAGTATCCTATTTTTAAATTTATTTACTTTATTTTAAGGAATATTGGTGTATCATTTTTTGAGGTATCTTGACTTTTACACAAAGTATATACATTCAGGACTTTAAAAAATAGCAGTTCACATTTAACAATAGCAATCTATGCCGAAATGTTTTAAGATTTGAATAACTTGGGTAGTAGTAAAATGTTTTATGTAAGATACAAAGTAGCAAAATATTGTATTACCTTAATTGACAATTTATTTACTGGAGAGTATCAGAATGACCCAGTAGCTCCTACAGAATGCCATAAATTACTTAAGCCTAAATATTATCAGTTAATCATAACAATGTTTGAACTTAGTTTTTAGAGCCGCAATTTCTTCCAGCCTGATTCCTTAGCAAGGCCTTCCTTGGCTCCACCTACTAAGCTGATCCTAGGTTCTGCTTTAGTTGAAGAATTAGCTCTTATTGTCAGATTCCTTGTCATCAGATCACTATGTTTATATTTTAATATACTGTTAGGAAGTTTCTTTTCTGTTTCCATTAAATATTTTTGGACAAAAAAGTGACAAACTTGAAAGTATGTGTTCTTTTTCTTCCCCAGCAAATCACTGAAATACCTTGTTTGCCAAACTGTCAGCCTTTTTAAAAATATAATGTGTACTGCTATTTTTAAACCAAAAAGAGACAGCAACTATGTGTAATACATTTTTCTTACCCTTTCCTTTGTCTCAATCTGTTATTAATGAAAATAAAACTGCCAGACCTAAACAAATATGATTTAGATTGCACAAAATTTTGAAGTGTAACTCAGCTGTCTTTCACAAGAATTGTGTTGTTATCTACAAGACTATTACAGTCTTTTTTCGGAGCAACTTCTAACAGCTAGTTGTGAATGGTTTAAAAAGTAGGAGATTACTAAAATCCTAATTTGGGGGGTTTTATAAAAAGAGAAAAACAAAACAGGACCAAAGTCTATGTGCCTTCTTCAGTAGTCTTAATTGACCTTTTCTTCCTATTTGAGACTAAGGTAGTATCAGTATTCTGATTTTCAGGAAGTATGTACTATGTAGTTTTAAGAGAATGTTATCCCACAAACTAGTCATACAAGCAAATAATTGTAACTCTGTAAATGCATTCTCTGTTACACTTTTGCCTTGATCACATAATATTCATTATAGAGCTTTTGCTGGTTCAAGAACAGAACTGCTCTAAATCTTTGTGGTAGTCACCTTAGTTTTTGAAATCTGAGGCATATGTTCCAGAGAACAGGGATATTTGTCTGGTCCAGTGACCTTGGTGATAATGGTGATGATTGAAAGCTGCTTAAGGCAAGCTCAACACTGTCAACAGATTTTTGTTGTTGTTATTTTTCACTTGTTGGATTTATATAGTAGTTGTAATAACATATTTAAATAGCTATTTTTTGGTGTCATTTAAAAAAAATCATACTCTGGCCTTTTTTTCCATTTCCATTATTGTTACCCAGATCTTTAAAAAATTCATCCCACATCTAGAAAGTACTAATTATAAAGATTGTTGACCAGGCAAAGTTTTACATCAAAATGTCACCTCATTGCTCTGACCAAAGACTGACTGTTCTGGTTTTAACTCCTCTATCAAGCATTTTCCCCGAGCTCCTTTCTGAAAGACCCAGTGCAAAGCGGCCTTTACTTCCTATTTCCTATTAGTGAATAGACTACTTAAAGAAATGGGAGTTTAAACATGAACAGAATGGACTAGGATGACAAGAGTTTGATGGGCATTTTCAGTACTGTATTCAGAAAAAATAAATAGCACAGCTAGGAGCCTCTGACATTGTCTTGTGTTTTACGCGGTCTGTTCATAAAATTCCCTTTTTCAGTTTGTAAGAATGTTCACCTAACAGAAGAAAATGCTGTAAATATTTGTAACAACTTTTTTTTAACCAGGCCAAAAAAGAAAAAAAAGGTTTTGGGAACAAGTTAACATATAAAGTGGTTTTATATAAAACATCAATTGTCTTGTATATTTTGATAAGCAGCAGTACCAGCTTTCATTTGTAATACGGTTTGTGGCATTGGAAGAAAAGGATTCTGTGATCGTTGAAGTGAATTATGTTATAAATGCAAAGAGAAGATAAAATATTAAAAGCATATTTTCTAAATGCGTAGTGCATGGTTAATTCAAGCTTCTGTACTCTACAGTATATTCCATTTTCCTGCAGTTTGTATATTTGCTATTACTTGATATCTCTAATCTCTTTTCCTAACAATATAGCATTGTAGCATGCCTTTTAATAAATGTCATAACATCTGTAGTCTCTTAAATTTTTCTGTGTTCTTGTATGTACTTTCGGTTTGCCTTGTCTTACCTGTAATTCTAATGATGTCATTTTCTTCTTTTTTCCATAGTAATCTTTCTCAGTTTGTCATAAAGAATATAAACACATATTCAAGCAACTTTAAAAACAGAAAAAAATAACTGCTGCTCTTTTAATTTAGAGATAATTGTTATTTTGAGGAGCAAAGTGCTTTTCTTTTTCTTTCTCTTTTTCTTTTTTCCGGTACCAGGGATCACACTCAGGACCTTGCACTTGTCACGCAGGTTGCGGCCTCACTGAGCTACATCCCCGGCCTGCAAAGCACCTTTCTGATCTTTTCATAGTGCACTCTTTTGGTCATTCTCCCTTTGGTTAATGAGTACATGTTAGTGTGCTTGCTTGCTCAAGCGCCTTCCTCCTCTTCCTCCTCTTACCCTCCCCCTCCCCCTCCTTCTCTCACCCTTCTCTCCTCCTTTCCCCCTCTCAGCCTCTCTCCAATTTGGTTCAATTTTTGACTTCCCTACAGCATTAGTATACACACACTTTGAGACATGAAGTGTGATCTCACACTGAGTTTTGTCCTTTTTAGTTAAAGGTTAACATAGTCACCGACTTCTACTTATTGCTTTTCCTCATAGAAATGTTTTACTTCTTGGTTCTTTAAAGAAATGCTAGATTGCAGGAGTCTTAAGCAGCTTGTGTGCCTTTTTTCTCTTTTCTTTTCTCTTTTTTTTTCTTTTATTTCCCCCCTCCTCTGTCCTCCATTCCTTCTTCCCCTTCCCCCTTCTCTTCCCTCTCTCTCTCCCCTCTCCTCTCTCCTGTCTTCTGTCTTATCTTTCTTGTTGCTGGCTAGGTAGTCAAGGCTGGCCTTGAACTCAGGATCCTCCTGCCTCACTCAGCCTCCCAAATGGTAAGAGTTACAGACATGTGAAATCATGTCCATAACAGTCATATTTATTTAAATCTTTTACTCCCTGATCTCTTAAAAGTATAAGTTTAGGGCCCAGGGATTTAGATCAGTGGTTCTGGTGCCTGCCTCACAAGCGCAAGGTCCCGAGTTTGATCCCCGGTACCAAAAAAAAAGTATGTTTATTTTTAATGGAACAAAAACATTAGGTAATCATTGCTAGTCTTTGCTGGCTTACATGTAAAATATCTTCACTCTATAAATGTCATGAGATAAATAGCTGGTACTTTTTTTTTTTAAGACAAGGTCTCACTGAGTTAACCAGGCTGAGTTTGAATCTACAGTCCTTCTGTCTCAGCATCCCAGAGTTTTGGGATTACAGGTGTGCAACACCATGCCCAGCTACTAGTCCTTACTTCAGCATAAGAGGCATTTTTATTAGAAAAAGATAAAATAACCATATGGCCGAATGAAGCTTTTATAATTTGATAATCTGAGAAATATTTATTTACACAGCAGAGGACTTGTAACACTACTAAGAGTCGTGTACCTTTGAGCATAATGGGACCTAAAAGATCATCTTGATCCATTTTATGTTGGTTGCAGAGTCTCCACCAGAGCCCAAATCCCTGTGACTTTATCCAGTGCTCTTGTGTCATATCCAGCCACCACAGTTCTGTACTACTGAGTGCTGCTGATGTTTTGATTTGAAGGTCTTCTTAGGTATTCTGAAAACTACCAAAATCAGCATAAAGGGATTGAGTACATGGTGGGAGTACTTCTACTGAACGGGTAAAATGCCTGTCTACTACAGAATTTGAATTGATAATGTTTCACATCATAAATTAGGAAAACAAGTTTAAAAAATATTTCTCCGTTCTAGAGGCTAGAAATCCAAGATGAAAGTGTGAGTAGTGTTGATTTTTTCCAGTGCCTCTCCATGGTTTGTAGATCTCTATTATATTTTCCCTGTACCATCTCCTAGTCTCTGTGTCTGTGTCCTAATCTCTTCTTATGAGGACAACAGTCATAATGGGCTTAGGGCCCACTCATATGAGCAATTTATACCTGAATTACCACTTTAAAACTCTCCAGTTCAGTCAAATTCTGAGTTATGGGAGGATAGGCTTCAGCATAGAGATTGGAATGGGAAGGGCATGCAATTCGGCCCATGCTCCTTTTTTTTTTTTTTTTTTGGTACCAGGGATCGAACTCAGGACCTTGTGGTTTGAGGCAGGTGGCAGCATCACTGAGCTAAATCTCCAGCCCTCATGCTCCTGTTTTAGTAGAAGTTATTCAGTTCACCAAATACTGATTGTGCCAGCAGTTGAGCTAGGTGCTGGGACAGTTAAAAGCATGATGACTTACCATTTAGGAATGTTATGTACTGGAAATGTCAGCCTATATCCATAAATCAAGTATGAACCCCTGCCTTCATTAGCAGACCCCACCCCCCAAAATGGATTGTGAAGTCTCTAGTCTTAATACAAATGGCTGAAACTATCCTACAACTAGTTATTACATGGGAATGCATACCCTGTAATAAATAGATGCTTTTTACTCTCAGAAATAAGCCATTTCAGAGTAGTGATAACTTCTAAGACAGATGACATTACTTGAACAGTTACAGAGATGAGCTGGTGTGCTATGCACAATTTTTTGTTTTGTAGTACTAGAGTGAACACAAGACTACTTGCGTGCCAGACAAGCACTGAGCTACAGCCCCAGCCCAGTGCCTAATTTTTTGGTACCGGGGATCGAACTCGGGTCCTTGTGCTTGTGCAGCAGGCAGCGAAACCACTGAGGTAAATTCCTGGCCCCACCAGTGCCTAATTTTTAATGTCCAACATTTGTTGATAAGTGAACTGGGCTGGGTTAGGTATAAGTGTTAAAACCATTTTGTTTAAAATTTGCATGATTTTTCTGCATCAATTTTTTTCTTTTTATTTCACTTTAATGGGAAATTGTCCCTATATGAAATTCTACCAAAACAATTTATGTTTAAGTGCTAAAATTCTAGTAACAATTTCATGAAATTCACTGCATGTCTAACCCATTGGATTTCACTGTAGAATTTTCACTGCTAGTGTAAAGAAAGTATAATTAAGTAGGAAAAGTTAATGACTTCAATGCACCATAAAGATTTGCTATCTATTTTCTTTTGATTATGTCCAAAAATATAACAGGATGACATAAAAGCCCAATAGTTGGAATAAATTGTCCTCATAAGCTCCTGTATTAGTTTGTGCTTAAGGTTATGGAATTAAACTGTTGCTTTTTTTTTTTTTGAGACGGTATTACTATGTAGTTCAGGCTGGCCTTGAACTCACAGTGATCCTCTTGCCTCAGCAACTTGAGTTCTGGGATTGCAGGCTTGTGCCACCACGCCAAGCAATCTGTTGCATTCTGTTTTACAGAGTACAAATATCAGATTCTAACCTAGTAAAAGACTATCTTTAAAAGCTTCTATTGATTTTATAAGCGTTAGACAAAGTACATTCTCAGGCAAAAGGCATTACTAGAGAGAATGATAGTAATGGAATACTTTATAATGTTACAGATAAACACAACATCTCTTAAAACTACATCAAAGAGAGGGGCTGGGGATGTAGCTCAGTGGTGCTGCTGCCTGCCTTGCAAGTACAGTGTCTTGAGTTCAATCCCTGGTACAAAAAAGAAAATTCATAAAACTACATGAAAGAACCTGGAGGGTGTGATCTTGAGTAAGGCAGCCATACTCCAAAGAATGTATAATGTATAATTTTATTTAAATCAAGTTCAGAAACAGGTCAAGAAGGTAGTATTTATAAAAGGGTATGAGGAGAGATTTCTGGTATCTGGTTAGTGTTTTATTGACCCTTGTGCCAGTTACTTGGGAATGTTTACTTTCTGGTGATAAATTGAGCTATAATACATTTGGGATTTATGTATTTGTATGTTATATTTTAGTTAACAGGATTTTACATAACTTTAAGTACTAAGGGACTATAAACCATTCCCATGATTCTTCAATACGGTATCCTACCCAGAAAGACCCTCTTAACAAAGAAACCAACATACCAAGGACTGAGTTTCATGGTGAAAGTCTCCTGTTTGTGTTTATACCTGTACTACATTTCTCTGACTATGGCATGCCTACAAGGAAAATAGTCCCTTGACAAAACACAAACCATGTTTTCAAGTCAGTTTCGTCTTCTAAACAGTTTTCTACTTAACTAGATTCAGAAAAGATGTAATAATAATTTTAGTTGGTTTTGCTGCCATAAGCCTGATACAGAATATTTGATGTTCAACCCTTAATTTCTAATGAGAAACCAGAAAGCCCTACCTAACTCTCTTGCATTAAAGAGGAGACTGTGGAAGGCTTAAATTTGTCACTAAGATTCTCTTCTTTTTTTTAACAGTATGTAGTAATTTTACAAAATACTGCATTTCAGTGTATTTATAAATGGCTATGACATTTTTATCTTATCTGTCCCCCCCATCACTGTCCCTCACACCTCTTCTCTGTACTCCCTCATTCCTCACCTTTTCTCTAATGAAGTCTCTCTTCTATAGCCATGTCTTTTTTTAACATTCATATATTAGGGAAAACACAATACTTGCCTTTCTGAGTCTGGATTATTTAACTTGATCTCCATTTCCATCCATTTTCTTGGAGTGACAAGTTCTTCTCTTGAACTAAATTATCTAATTAGATATATCTCCATATCTTGACTCTTGTAAGTTGTGCTGCAATAAACGGGTATGCAGATATCCCTGTAGTATGCTGATTTGAATGTCTTCAAATATATACCAAGGAGTAGTGTAACAAGGTCATACAATAGTTCTGTTTTTTAGTTGGTGTTTGTTTGGTACCGGGGATTGAACTCAGGACTTTGCACTTGCAAGGCAGGCGCAGTGCCACTATTTTTAGTTTTTTGATCAGTCTTCATACTG